GAACGAATCGCAGAGTACACGTAACTATTGACCTTTGTGCGAGCAAAACGCGGAGTCATACTTTAATGGGGCTAAAGTACACCCACCTCCACTTTACAGCCATAAACAAGACCGCCCTGCCCTTCAATAGCGCATTTACTTTGCGTAAAAATTCCAAAACGCAGACGGAAGATAAATTGCGCCGGCAGGAGAATGTATCATACGGTTTGTTAATTTAGGACGGGAAATAGTAGCGAGGGAAACTTATTACGATTTATGGTAGCGAAAATAGGGTCCGTGGAGGAGGGTAAACAACAATTGCAAGAGCAGCTGGTAGGTACTAAAAATTGAATCCGTGTAAAAAAGCATTGCCAAGTACAGGGTTGCGTGGAATATCCTTTAAACAAATCACGGTATCTGTCCTACATTAAGTTCTTGCAAAAAATTGTCCTTTCGATAAATTAATATTCCTATGAAAATTCCACCAAAATCGTACCTCTTCCAAAAGTCACTATTTTTGTCCCACTAGTTTCTCCAATAAGTAACTGGGATCAAATCACAATACCAAGTATGTACGTCACTTAACTCTTTTAGGAGGGTAATTATACTGAAAACTGAATGAAGGAAATATGCGCCCCAGTTGTGATTTACATATATCCCCGGGGTGCAGGGGGACTGCCTCGCAATTACGATCGGGTAACGATTTCACGTTTCTCGATAAATACGAGCTGGTTATGCGATTCGAGCGTGGACTCTGTCTTCGGGAAAAAGGCTCGAGCATTAACCAGCGCAATTAACTTGGAATTATTCCGCCGGCGTTCCAGATGTTGCTTTTATTGCTCCTCACTTCGCAGACCAGACAGCAAGTCAGTTCTTACGTCCGCCATTTAATGATCTCGGGGGTAGGAATCATTATCGAGGCATCAATGACACATATTCCAGCTCACCCATATTGAAAAGATGCAGCGCAGAACGATATACAGTACATAAAGGTATTTAATTCCACTACACATTTGGGCTGATCAAAATTCATGTCGATTAATATTTAAATGTTAATGATCTTAGGGGGTAGGAATCATTATCGAGGCATCGATGACACGTATTCCAATCCACGCATATTGAAAAGATGCAGCACAGAACGCTAAAAAAAGAAAATCAATATAATATTAATATACAGTACATAAAGGTACTTAAATCCACTACACATTTGGGCTGATAAAAATTGATCTCGATTAATATTTAAATGTTAATGATCTCGGGGGTAGGAATCATTATCGAGGCATCGATGACACGTATTCCAACCCACCCATATTGAAAAGATGCAGCGCAGAACGTTAAAAAAAGAAAATCAATATAATTTTAATATACAGTACATAAAGGTATTTAATTCCACTACACATTTGGGCTGATAAAAATTGATCTCGATTAATATTTAGATACCTTTCAGAAGAAGTCCGAATATCACTATCCAAGATATGACCCCAGGTACCGAGTGATTTAATTGCAAGCAGTGTTCACCGCGAAATGCACTCGCAGCTTCTGATAATAGCCATACCTCCGTAAATCCTGACCTTTCCATGGAGTGGAATTACGGCAGGATCGATTCGTTCCATTGGTCATTCATTGTTGGTGAAAGTACTCACACGAGCAGTGTCACACCCACACATCGAGAGTCGATGTCGAAATAGTCGGGGAACAGCTTACGGCATAAGTTACCGAGAAAATATTAGAGATCAAAAATAACGATTAATTCGGAATATTAAACAGGGAAATGATGTCTTAATCGCCCCTTTACTTTCTACTTACATGTCGGTTGTTTTAATTCGACATCCCCGGCGTTGCGATTCCCGTTTTCCTCGGTCATAGTGGATGCCATTACGCGAACTGCACTCGCCTATGCAGTTGCAGCTGCAGTTAATATCTCGTACCGTACCTAGACGACAGACGTAAATTGAACTTGTAACTAAGCGCGTTACCGTGTCACGGGCAAAGAAATGTGTACTGGCCTGTGAATTGAGAGTAATATTAAATGTCTTCACGCGGCATTGAATTCCACGGTAACTTTCACGTTTAGACGAGATGATAAACCGGCCGGCGATAACGCGAATCTTTGATAGCCGTTGATAGTTCCTTTCCATTGGAATTACACGATACATTGCACAGAGTAGTTAATTTCCTGAGAGGTACGGCCTATGATGTACGATTTCATTGATAGGAAGAATAAATTCTTAAAATCGCTCGGAACACTCTTGCTGCTTGCATTTTCGAAAACCCATCTCCTGGATGAAAATACACCTGTTACACGTCAGAGAAGCCGGGGGGCAATAATTCTCGGACAAGCAGCAAGAGAGTCGCGGCTCGACGGCGAGCGTCGCTGTTCGCTCGATTTTATGGACCTCGTAATTTATGGATCCGCACCTACGCATAGGAAATTCTCTACGGAGTTGCGAGAGTTGTAACAACCGTCGGCCGACTTACATCAGTCGAGAGGGACTTCCAATGAACGGAGAGAAAATTGCGCCGGGCGTGAGCGAAATACTCGGAAATTAATAAGCATGGCCAAAAGAAGTGCAGCGAGAAAATCGCAACATGGTTTTCAGTAAAAAAAGAAGTCTCCAAAAATCCTCGACTATATTCTACCGTACCCAGTTGTACCGCTTAATTCTAATAAAAAAATTCTCCCTCAATGAAACGACGCGTCACAAGTGGTAAGAAAATCTCTAAACACCCCAGACTCCAGATTACACCCTGAATTTTGAGTGAAAAGAAATTTGAAAAATCTTTGACTATCACTCATCGTCTCTAAATAGTATTATACCAAATTTTACAAGCCCGTTGTAATAAAGAAATGTTTTTCTCGCAGTAAGATGACGCAGGAAAATCAGGCTAGATTAGTTCTGATATTTGCGGTCTTTCCGGGCGCAAATCGGCGCGGTATGGAGTAATTTTCGGCGGTATTCTGTTTACGACTACGAGGCAGTATCGCCGACAGTTTTGCGGAATACAGGTGCGGTAATTTGATTCGTCGAATGAGGAAACGCGGCTTTTCGTTCGGGCCGAAAAAGCACTTTCCAGGTGGCCGGTACCTTGCGGAGTCGATTTTTATCTCCTCTCGCGCGTCGCCGTTCGGCAGATTCCTCAGGAGGAATTTGTCGAATTCGTACGAATGGCCCTCTGCTCTCTTCGGACACATAACGCGCCGATTGTGCAATCCCGTGGAAAGAAACAATGGTCGGGTGAAACGGTACTGGCCAATTAAAAAACTTTTTGCCCACGCCGATCGGGCCCGTTTCGCCACTCTCGTTTGCTCAAGCCGTTGCAAGTCGGACAGCGCCCCATTAGAACGCCACCTTACATGGCGACCTCTTGCGCTCGTTACATTGTAGACGACTTCTTGTCCATCCCCTGAAAACTAATCCTCCACCAGTGCGACGTGGGTCCATCCGCATACAAAGCAAAACATGGGTTAACCAGGGTTAAACTCCCATACCAACTAAAAAATATGAAATATTAATAATAATCACGGCATACAGCGTCCATTAGAACGCCACTTTACATGGCGGTCTCTTGCGCTCGTTACATTATAGACGACTTCTTGTCCATCCCCTGAAAACAAATCCTCCACCAGCGCGACGTGCGTCCATCCGCATACAAAGCAAAACATGGGTTAACCAGGGTTAAACTCCCATACCAACTAAAAAATATGAAATATTAATAATAATCACGGCATACAGCGTCCATTAGAACGCCACTTTACATGGCGATCTCTTACGCTCGTTACATTGCAGACGACTTCTTGTCCATCCTCTGAAAACTAATCTCCTCCACCAGTGCGTCCATCCGCATACAAAGCAAAACATGGGTTAACCAGGGTTAAACTCCCATACCAACTAAAAAATATGAAATATCAATAATAATCACGGCTTACATCGCGTTACTAGTTCCCCCCCAAAATTGAGAAGAATAAGAATTCCACCTGCATCGCTGTATGCACCCATCCGCATACAAAGCAAAACATGGGGTTAACCAGTGCTCCTATACAAACCCCTAAAAAAATATGAAATATTAATAATCACGGCTTACATCGCATTATCAGTTCCCTCTCCTAAAAAGAGGAATAAAAAATTCCACCTACATGACTTGAACACGTCTGCGAAGAGTACCTCAGCACGAAGCGTGTAAAATCAGCGTCCAGGCATCCGAGACATCTGAAAAATCCAAGAAGCGATTACTGAAAATGCCTCGGCTAACGTTTCCATCGCAAACTCGTTCGGATACGGCCTCAAAATTGCAGGTTCAAATCGTCGAGTAGAGCGCTCCCTATTCCAGGCGGGAAACGGCACGTGATCTCATCTTCCAATTAGCCGGGAGACAAGTATGGCGGCGTAAAGCGCGGCAGCGTTTGATTCGCCGATTTGGCCGGGGGCACAAATTGGAGTTAGTTCCCGCGCGAACTCGCCTTATAATGTTGCGCCTTGACGGGTGAATTAGCATGATGTGCCGGCCGGGTGCGGGTGTAGCACGTAGCGCCGAGTGAAGTCGGCCGCTCCTCTCGCGGCCCTTCACTTCACCACGAGTGACGCGCCGCTCTAGAGAGGCGCGGCTGCGCGCGCCGCCGAGGATGACGCCCCATTGGTGGGAGCACGGCGATGCCACCGCCGATCGATATCTCGATGTCTCGATCTCGAGCTCCCTTTGCCTCGGGTCACGTGACATCGCGCCTCGGGTCACGTGGTATCGCGCTTGGGTCACGTGATACCGCGCATCGGCGATTCAAACATGGCGGTTGGCAGTCCAGATATCTCAGTGAAATGCATCGATTTATCGCTAGGTCGTCGACTCCAGGCCTAATTTTCACCACGACGGAGCAGAAGGGAGCTGCGAGACCGCTCGTGAAGTTATTCTCAGGTAAGAAACGACTCTTTTAGAAGGTATTTATAAATAACTGCGGCCGAGCGAGCGGGAGGTTCCTAGAACACATCTAGGTCGAGGAATCCGGTGGCCTTAATTCGCTGATTCATCGATCGGCGATCGATCCAGATTCGAAAGTATGGCCGTGCCTCGCCGAAACATGACTCCCGGTCGGCGAGATGGCGGTCTAATCGAGGAACGCTGCAAGCGCCACGTTCGGTTAAGGTACGAGCTGTAAGATCGGACGCACGATCGGAATTCCCGCTAACGTTCCCATACGCGTTCTGCGCGTGCGCGCGGCGCTTAAAATGCAGGAAACATATCTTGTTACAGGCCGGCGAACGGCAGCGCAAAGTTCTCGAGGGCCTCTCGCGTGTAAACTGGTTATTCCCTGATTTATATCGGGGAATAAGATCGGACCGCGTACGGACGTGAGGATAGCTCCCTGTTGCAGGAAAGAACCGCCGAAGAGAGAAACCGTGCTCGCCACCGGCGGCCATATTTAAATGCGTGCGCAGAATCGAAAATGCACTCTCGACTTTCATGTAGAGCGAAGATCTACGAAGACGGTCAGTGGGAAGTTAAAAAGTAATAAGTGTCCTAGTATGTCTATTTACGCGTAAACGTAATGATATAAAATCTCTTGCAGGACGGGTGCCAACTGCACCGATAAGCAGCGATGGCGTTCTGACGATCGAATTACGGCCTGACCTTGAAAAGATCAGATCCATTACGAGGTGCTTTGGCAGGTGAAAGTGTGACCGATTGGCAAAGTAAATCTAACTATTGCAACCTTATAGATTGACGAGCGCATATATCGACTTAACGGCCGAGGTAATCGATTATTGAGGGAACCGGAGAAAGCACCGATCCGGTAATTCGATCTGCGGTGCCAATATAAATGGAATCGATTTACGCCCAAGTGACTGAAGAGATGGGCTTCGACGTAGAGGAGACCAGCGCGGGTTAATCGGCGAGTTAGTTCGGGAAATCTGATTTCAAGACGTATGGCGCAGTAAAACGTGTGCTTGATATGTGCCGATGAAAGCACGACCTGTACTCGCTGCACGTCCGCTGTACCCTCGTTCATACGTTATTACCCCGTGTCAAATAGTCCTCTCATTTGGAATAACTTTCAGGTTGACCAGGCGGAGATATTCCGGCAGAAGGCGAGGTTAATGCAGAGCTGCAAATGGCGTTGAGAGCAATGAAACCGAAACCGAGGAGAAAATCGGAATCCCGGCGAGGGAGTGATGATAGTTCCCGGCAATGAAGTGCAAGACGCCTGGAAGTGGTATCGGTCTTTAAGACAAGTCAAAACTACAAGCTGGAAGTAACCAGGAAACGTAAGATGATATTGATCAGGGAAGAGCGAAGAAAACGAGGCTCGAGGAAATTTGCGATATCGGTTGATAAGAGGCGTTGCTGGGGGGGCCGCTTTTCAGAAGAACGTTCTAACGAATCTAACAAACTTGCCGATCGCGATCTCCACGAGGAGGGCGGTAACGTTAACGAGGGCGATAATGCCTCGACTATAAAGTCGAGGTTTAAGGTGATGTGAAACACGTCGAGGAACTTGATCGACGTCGGTAAAAAAGATTTTTCTAAATACTTACGTTGCCGACGTAGGTTATTATATTGACAGCTGTGTCGAATTATATTGCGCATTGTGGTAAATGGCATACTCCACCTGTCGTTTTGGTACAATAATCATAAAGAAATCGAAGTAAAACTCCAGAGATCCGGATTTTGAATATGTCAGGACGATTCTTCGAGGAACACGAGTCATGGGTCAATATTTCGGACAGTTCGGTCCAATACCTTTCAAAATAAGTGTCTTATTCGAATCGACTTATTTGAGGGGTGTTTCACTTCATCTTATGGTAAATGTCTACCAGATTCTCTATAGCCCGTAAACTATGGAAACCTCCCCAAGACATGCTAAACGATGTTCAGGGGGACTTCGTTCCTGAAGAAGGGGCTTCTAACGAAGAGAGGGAAGGCCTCTCGATAAGTAGAGCGATTACGAATGCCCACCTTGCAATTACATACGTCTCTTACGCGATCGAGATCCCTCCTCCGTGCGGGGATCGAAATATGCGGTATCAGCGATTGGATCGAAGGTCGACCTTCGTGGGCGAAGTGGGAATGTCTGGTAGAAAGCGACGACGCGAGTACCGTGCCAAGATCGAAGATCACTGGATTAAGGGATCAGGAATTGTCACTCTATTATCCGGCTCTGCCGGATTGCGAAAAAATACCCGGCGGTCTCCGAGGTCAGCTGTTAAGATTCCTGTATGATTATCTGAAAACTGTCATCGGAAATCTACCCGATGAAATTCATTGTTCAGAAATATTTTCAGGGTCCAGCAGGAGGCGTTATTGCTTCCGCATTTTGGAAAGCTCAGGAAAATTGTACACTGATGAAAGAAGAATGTCATCGAATCAGAGAAATATGGTGTTAAGGGGATGTGAAAGTGGCATCCGAAAAGTCATTCGTTTATGTAACTTTTCTCCAAACAGGGTGTACCGACGCGTTTCAAACTTTGCAACATGAACCTAGAGGCTATATGGAAGGTCCTGACACTCATGATATTTCATTTTTTATACAGAATTTTGAAAATATCCATAAACAAATTTAAAAAAAATTGAAATTTCATGGGCATCAGGACCTTCCTGATAGTCTCCCTATTCACGTTATAAAGTTTCAAACTATTTGGTAAATCGAGTTTGGAGAACAGTTTTATAAACAAAACCTCTTCGACGCCACTTTCGCATCGCCTTAATTCGGAAAATAACCACTTCGCTAAAACTGGAATAAATTGAGTGGAATGTTTATTCGGCAGTATGAGAATTTTAATGAAATTATATCTTGGAATTAAATATTTCTTTGGGAGCATTTATAGAATATAATGGCTGACCAAAGTGAGTCAATTAATACATTAAATATTAAAGACGCTTTATATTATATCGGAAACGGGCGAGCCAAGTACGTTGCTGTGGGATTTTATTTATTGTAACATGCATGGCGACACACTGTAAATAGTTCATTCCATTGAATACATCTTTCAATAACTGCTCAGTGAAAAGAAAAAATGGATGGGTTGTGCTTACAATCTAGTAATCTGGTTTTCCTAACTTCCAGCAGGAGATACTAGGTTTCTTTCGTGATTCCACAACTTATCAATGACAATACTTTTTAATCTAAGGCACATGTTTCTGAAGAACTATATTCCTGTGGAATTGCATTTTTGCAAAGCCTTTTCCTTTAGATTTACGATCTTTGAAAAGTAATACTTTAACAAATAGAATGTACTAGGCGCAGGTTTTCTTTTTTACACGGATGGTGTTTTGGGTTAAATATTTCTTTGGTAGCATTTATAGAAATACTATTTTGGTTCGATGAATTTCTTTGTCCTGGGTATAAGAAAGGGTTCTCGGAGCTCCGTCGTCGACCACAGGTTCGAGTCGAGTCATCGAAGTATCGCAACCAGTCTTTCACCGGCCCGGTCCGTAAGTTTTCTCGGTAATAGGTGCGAGACATTTTTTCCAGGTACGCGCCCGCACGTTAGCAGGAAAATCAGTTCCACGGCCGACATTGTGCGAAGTGCCGATCCGCAATTATTGCATCAGAGTCCGCGGGGGGTCCGTTCAGCGCTTTACAGCTCAACTGCACTCCAAGCGGCTCGTTAATTCGTGCCAAAAGACTGGCATTGCCACTCCAGGGTTAGATACCAGAGACCTGGCCATTGCGAGGGAATTGATCGAATTTCCCGCGTTGATTCACCGCGGAATTGCGGTGTTCGCTCGAGCCTTAATTCATGCGAGGCCGGACCCTGAATCGCGGCCGGATTGCGGGGAATTATTCGAAACACATCGCGATGTGTAATTTCCTAAATGGCGCCTGTTTACAACCGTTTACCAGCCCGCCATTTGTCGTGGGAAGGGTACGTGAAATTCCTGACAAGGCGTTGCATACTGTTACAGTTGCACTAAGAAAAAAGAATTCAATGAACCAAGGAACATTTCATTCATTTAAGGAATAATTTCCCTCGAGTAAACTCAAACTGTCATCATTCCGAGGAAACTTTGCATCCAATTTATTCGAATTGAGTCAAATCATTATTCTTTGGATTAAGGTGATGTGAAAGTGGCGCCGAAGAGGTTTTGTTTATAAAACTTTTCTCCAAACTTGATTTACCGAATGGTTTGAAACTTTACAACGTAAATAGGGAGACTATAAGGAAGGTCCTGCAACTCATGAAATGTCAATTCTTTTCAAATTTGTTTATAGGTATTTTAGAAATAGTTTAAAAAAATGAAATTTCCCGAGTTTCAGGACCTATCTTAGGGTCTCCGTATTCACGTTTTAAAGTATGAAACGATTTAAGACACCCAGTTCGTAGAAAAGTTTTATGAACGATTGAGCTTTCGGATGCCACTTTCACATCCCCTTAAGGTGATACGAAAGTGTCGACAAACAGGTCTCGTTTACGAAACTTTTCTCCGGGCTGAGTGTACCGAATCGTTTTTCAACGAACTTTACAATGTGAACATAGCAGCTCTAATTGCCCATGGAATATCAATTAAACGAAAAAATTTGTTTACAGTTGTTTAAACATTTCTTTGTAAAAAATGAAATTTCATGGACATAGGGACCTTTCTTGTAGCCTCTATATTCACGTTGTAAAGTTTGAAACGATTCGATACACCCAGTTCGGAGAAAGGTTTCATGTACGATTGATATCTCGGATGCCACTTTCACATCCCCTTAAGAAATTATTTCTTTAATACTACTATGTGGTTCGATGACATTTCTTTTTCTTTCCGCGGCGTGGAGAATAACTCCCAATGCACAGTTTTTCCTCCCGTTTTCAAGGAACGCATGTCAACAGGGACTCGACATTTTACCAACAGTCTCGACAGGAATAAGTGAAATTCGTGACAAGGCGTAACACGCGACTCGTGTCACCTGGCTGATGGAAAAAAAAAAATCATTCTCGCCGGTGTGAGAGCGCCATTCTTACGTGACGACGATTCAATTCCGCGTCGATCTGGTCGGAGAAAACCGGGAACGTTACGGTTTTCAAAAGATTTTCCTCACTTTCCTGTAAACCTGTTTGTTACTGCATTGCCGTTGATTATACCGGGCTGTGCGATGCATAAATTTCCGCAGACCGTGAGGTGTTCCTCCTTAGTGCGACACGAGTGGAAACGCGGGATTAATTTAACGTACTTTGCGTAAACTTAACCCCGATTAATCCTCGCGACAAATGGACCAATGGCCGACGCATAATGCATGTTAATTTGACTGATATGGGATTTATTTAACGGCGGGCGTAATCATTTCTAATCGCGCCTGATGAAACATCGCCTATCAGAGGCGATCGAGAGATAAGTCTCTTTCTAATTAGAAATGTCGCGGATTATTGGTCAAGGTGCTGATCCTTTGTTATTACTGGCAGATAATGGTGAAAGGAGCGCTGAAAGGATTCATTTTCTCGCGGGTCCTGCCGAACACGCTCTGGCTTTCGTTAAGAAATTAACCGTTTAAACAATATTTCACAGTATTAAAAAAATTCATTAAACTCATACATAAGGTTGTAATACAGTTATGAATTTTATGTTTTTAAGGTGAATTAGTATACATTGGGAAGAGCTTTCGTTAAGAAATTAACCGTTTAAACAATATTTCACAGTATTAAAAAAATGCATTAAACTCATACATAAGGTTGTAATACAGTTATGAATTTTATGTCTTTAAAGTGAATTAGTATACATTTGGTGGAGACTTCTAAATGAATTTACAATTTTATTACATTATGACATAGTTTTATAAAATTCTGTGGGAAAATAAATTTTATATTCGGAAGTCACTTAGTACACGTTATTTATAATCTTTTGAGATGAGTTCTTCATTTTACGATACTATGTTATAAAATTCACAGAATTTGTTTAACAGTGCGAGCTCAAATAAGGAATCGGTCTCATTATCGAGGGACATAACACGTGTCATGCCTTCTATAAAATCCACACACTTATGGTACATAAGATTGCGCTAAAGTTATAAATTTCACGTCTCAAAGGTGAATTATTACACATTTATGATAAACTTGTAATTCTGCAACGTCATATTGGAAGTTTGTGAAATTTTGTGGAAAAATGAGTAGAGTTATGGTTTAAATTCATGACATATGAGTGTTGTTTGGAAATGTCAGAAAATTAGTACACCGTATCTGAATGAAACTGCCAAGAAAAATGGTATGAAATTTCACTGTCCTTTTTCTTTTTTTCTTTTTCGTCCTTCAGTGTAAGAATAGCACGTAGGCAAGGTTTCCCAACTCATGGTTACTTCGAAAACTTACGCAATGGACACACGGACACCGAGGAATTCGCCCGAGCTCGGTACGATTAATTTCCTATTGACAGTAAAACGTTATGCTGAATTAGAGTCTGATACTTTGCCGACAATCCGTCCGCAGGTCCGACTACCGGAACGACGTTGACTGACGGTCGGAAAACCGGCACTTAGATGACGGAGATGAATTTAGTCGAAAGATCTCCGAAGGCAAAGAAATTATCCCCCGACGTCCAATCGACTGTCCTAAGTATCGGTGACGCATTAAACGGAATGAAT